TTGAGCATACGACAGACTTCTGTGATTGAATCTACGCAAACATGAGGCTCTGCTGAGACCTGGAGTAACCAACCTGCGCCGCAGCACAGCCCGGCGAAAGTGGGGGCTGACGCTGAAACGGCGAAACATGTTGCAACCAGCACTTCTCGGAAGTGTGGCCCCTAACCTGACGTCGTCACTACCGGTTAGCCACGCCTTTGTCGCATGTAATGGCTGGCACAGCCAATGTGGCTAAGGCCACGGAGGCGCTGACACGCTGCTAGAACGTCGATCTGCCGTACGGGGTCCCAGGCCGAGTCTTTTCGTACCGGAGATCGCATTTGACCTACTCGTCAAACCCCAGATCAAACTCCTTGAAGCGCCAAGCTTGCGTTGCGTTGAGCTGGTGTACGAGGAGCTGGTGAAGATCTGCCATAATTGCACTAGCGCAGTAAGTGGTGAACTGTATGCGGCTGTTGCATCCTTTTGATACACTGGGCAGGAGCTGCAACGCTTCCCAAGGCTGCACGCGCAGCTCATCGAAGTCGTCTCTGAGCTCCTTCGTGAACGCCTTGGCCCTACCACTGATTACACTCAAAGCCTCATCGACATTCAGACCGCATACATCAATACCAACCATCCCGCATTCATCACAGGCTCCGCCATGGCTGCTCAAGCTGACGCTTCTGCTCCCGCTAAGCACGTGCCGCCTCCAAGAGTAAGTTCATGAACGCCAAGATGTGCTCTTTTACCTGACGCATGTCCTAGCCATCATCTACGGAATCCATGAACGGTTCCATGCTTCCCGAAGAGGATGAAGAATCTGACGACGCCCAATCCATCAATGGCAATGGCATCGTTTCCAAACGGGGCAGCGATGCTCGGTCTATCTCTGGACAACACGACCGTACGCGTTCTACACCTGGCGGACCAGCGTCCTTGGCTGGCCCTATGCGCCACCCCAGTTCTCCCAAACCTTCTCACCACCACCACTCCTCCCGACATCCGCCACAAGCACCAGCAGGCTCCAACGCGGCAAAGGAGTCCTTCCTCAACTACTTCTTTGGTCAGAATGGTCCTGGCCCCCTCGCTGGTGCTAGCGTTGAGCGGGCAGTGGCTGCCCAAGGCGCTACAGTGATCACTCCTATCGGCCGTGATGTCTCTGGAGGTCAGCCGCCAGCGCAGACGGGCCTTTTGGCGGGCAAGAGGACCCTAGATGCTGCCAACCAAGGTAGTAACGCTGCGTTCGACATGAAGAGCCTGGGCAAGCACATCGAGGCGGTGCGTATTGCAATGGACTGTGCAACAACATCATTTGCTGATATCTTATTCTAGACGTCAGAGGGTGGCGCACATCTGACGATGCGCGAGGAGATGGAGACGAACCTTATTCGTTCGCTCATCCAGTCGTACTTCAACATCGTCCGGCAGACAATCCAAGATTTAGTCCCGAAGGCAATTATGCACTTCCTCGTAAACCACACGTCGGAGCACGTGCAAAACCGTCTCGTCGCCTCGCTGTACAAGCCGGACCTGTTCTCGGACTTGCTGAACGAGGATGAGGCACTGGTTGCTGAGCGTACGCGCGTCAAGGCCCTACTCGACGCATACAAGGAGGCATTCAGGACCCTGTCTGAAGTGACACTAAAATCTACATAGATAGAGCACACGATTATCCTTATTTGTGGATTACACACTTCTGTTGGGATGTAACGATCTGTCCTCTGTCTCCCATGGCGGTGTCTCTGTCGATCTTGTCGCGACGTTTCTCTTGTGATAGCTGTAATCTCTACTAGTTTCGCACTTTACACGGATGGGCATGGAATTGGCAGCCACTTTGCGACGTTTATGAAATTGGACCCCAATCCTCCTCTCTACTGAGGCTGTCGTTGAGTTCGTCATCGGAACATACGTCGAGCACCTTTCAGGACTCAGCTGTTGACCCTTGATTCGCATGCCATAAGAGTCCAACAAGTCGTGTGTACATTTCATGAACTACCAACCACTCGCCCTTTATCCATGCGGAAGTAGCACTGATACAGTCCTTAGCAGGCTTCTTTGTCTCGTTAGCCAGCGGGTAATTGTTAGTAGATAGAGGCGGTGAAGTCATCGCAATGTCGGGAACACCAACTCGCAGCGGTTCCTAGAGCTGCCGAAGCCTCCTACAGCTCTCTGATGACGACAGTCTTGGTGATCGTAGGCATAGGGATGACTTTGTCGTCTGCTATGGTGTTGCACACGCCCAACTGCATTCGAATATGTCAGCACATCAGTCAAGTGCCAGCTGGCAGTTCGATCAGACGCACCTCGACCTCGCCAGGCGTACCGACTTCCGAGCTAGAGTGGGACCGGGAGGCGTTGGGTTGCGACCTTGACTTACGCTCAGCGCTGCCATGGGTGTATGAATAGGAAGAGACGAAGCCCGTGACCGCACGGTGCTGGTTAAGCTGCTCGCGGCCGTTCAGCCTGTGCATTCCTCGTCAGGGTTGTTCAAGAAGTTTAACGAATGATCGTTACATGGAGACTGCCGGGGTATGATAAGCAACGATGGCCAGATACACTGTATAGGCTACTTACAGAAGGTGTTCGCGTAGAGTTTGGTGACGTTCACATGGAAGGCGAGCCTGCTCGGACAAATTATGGCACCATCAGATATGCAATGCATGCCACACCGAACATTGTGGCGTACCAGTACAGATGGTCCGGAGCTGCGTGGAACGTGATAAGTAGCAGGGTTTGAATGAGTGTGACGAGCACGCCGCGATGCATGATGTAATGCATCAGCATATCAATGATCGAGTTTGTACTGGAGTGCACTTGTGTCAATGCGTTGGTATGATGAGAAAGAGCGTTACACACCCACTCATCCCGGTCCTCGACGACGCGAGCATGAAGCACATTGCTACGGTGGCGACAACGTCCGTTAGGGCGCCGAAGCCTTTAGCGAGCCCGAAGAAGATCTAACGATACCGTCAGTGCTAGGACGGAGTAGCAGCGTATCGGCTCACGGAAAATGGTGTGCTCCTCGCCGCAAGCACGTTATGCTTGTGGACAACCATGACCGTCGTACACGCTAGTAGGCCACACCAGGTCTCAGCGCAAGCTCAGGCGATCATGACCATGCAATGTTCTCACCGATACCAAATACTGCGGGGCTCTATGTTAAGATCTAGCAACCATCGGTGGTGACTGAAGACATACCGCAAGCCAATATGGCGCCAATGGCCTATTATGGGCCTGATGAGATTGGGAGACGAGCGCCGGTGAAAATGAACCAGTCGTGCTTACCACAAGCACCGGTACCACGAGCATGCGTCTGTTGATCTTCGCAACTGAGGCATTCAGGGTAGATGAGCTGGGGCTACGAACATGCGGCCATGATTAATTGCGCTCACCTTTGTACAGCTGAACAACAAAGTATCCTTGGGAACTACGATCGCTTAAGTTTAGCTGAACCTTCTCAGTGAAGTTCCCAGGACTGACATGAATGTAATCAGGGTCGAGATAAGACATTCTGCGGACAATTCGCTACATGAAATTTAGGTGAGATCCGCGGGAATCTTGAGTGAAGGCGGAACTAACCTAGTGATGCTATTCAGAGGAAGCAGCGATCCGAAGTGTGGGACCTGCAGGCTGATGAGTTCACCCACTGTCTGTAATGTATTCAACACTTACCAGGTAATAATAGACGGACTGAGCAACCAGAGTGGACGACGTGATATTAAACAGTCTGGTGGACACGGCTTCAGACGCATCCGTTTTAGATCTTGTTGACAGCTTACAACATCATAGAGGCCTATATAGAGATTTGTCTGTAAGAGTAGGTGATAGATAATAATGCTAAGCTTACGGTGATCCGGAGATGCAGAGCATCGTGCGACGGAAAGTAGAGGTACCCTTGCAGGATATTGATCCCTGTCAGACTAAGAAGTGTCGTGGTTAACTTCGAAATTGGGCTGGCCTTGGAGAAATCTCACACGAGCGAGCAAAGGAAGCCTACACATGGCCATCAGTGCCATTATTTAGGTATAGAGCAGGGACAGCTTACCCCAGTACAGCGGTCCGAGAGTGGGGGCAAGGTCAAGCCCGTTCTCCGGAATATTTGTGCTGTTAGACATTGTTCGAGGTACGGGTCGCTAGCGGAAATTGGGGCGGGTAGCTAGCGAACGAAGGCTCATGTTCGTCTGATCCTCCGCCTCTTATTGAGCCTCGCGGACGACCTGGACCCGCAAGTTACCAATTACGACTACTTATCAGCACATCACATGAAGAATTCAAAGATGTACGTTACATCTATCCAAGAGGGTGTGACATGACAGCTTCGCTGCACAGCTGAAGTCAAGACGACGTGAAGCGCGGTCGTGATGCCATGCCTTGCGGGGACGACCGAAGGTCATGAGGCTCCGCGAAGCGGGTTCGGCTCACACACCACAAATGTCCGTAACGGTTCTTATATTATGCATGGAACAGCGATTATGCCCACACCAGCTGGAAGCTTGGATTTCCATGCCTCCGTGCGATGACTCCAAATCGCCGGGGTAAACTTGTATGCAGAATTCTGCGCCAGAATAAGTCCTAGATAAGAAGAGAGACATAAAGTTAGTTAGGCACGCAAACAGTCAACTAGTCAACTAGTCAACCCAGGGATGAACACTGCACGTAGACCCAGCCTTTCCCGTCCCTATCTGCACATGATGACGAGCTGCCAAAGACGCTACGACGGGTCACGCGTCACATCGCACCAGTCTATTACGTGATGTGACGAGAAGTGACATTTGGCTTTAGGCTGCTGTCACACACCTGAGCGCGACTGACAGGTCCGCCCCATGTCGGCCAACTCTCACACTGCGGCGATGAGGGTAAGGCAATAGGGAAGGTATAATATGGCGATTACACACAGATTACGCAAGTGCTATTCTGGAGAAGCTGTTAGACGTCGAAGATCCTCCGGTACAGCTCTGGCATGTATTTATCTGCCTTAGGCTTTCAAGGGGTCCCACCAGGAAACAGAGACTTCACCACTATTCTCGCGAGTCGACGATGGAAGAAGCATCTAGACCGCATGGTATCCTTGCAGGTCAATGTCTACAATGTCAAAAAACAATTAAAGATCTTTTTAACTGGCAGTTTCAGCAAACGTGGAAATCGCTCTCGCCCGTTTCGATAAAACTATTGAGAGCTTCGCCTATTTTTTCATCTCCTCCGTTCAAATCAATGCCAATACCGTCAGCATCTGGCCTGTCCGCAAGCAACGCTAGTGTTAACGCGACGTCGTCGCGCTGTGCATGCGAAAGGCATTGCGAGCGTCAGCTTTGTCAAACGCGCCGTAGCACCTCGGGCACTTACGGAGATTGTCGTTCCCAGCGGCGCTTTCCCGACGGAGGCACGGCCGGTACCGCGGGAGCTCGTCAGACATCCTGGGCGAAGCATCGTCCACTTGAATGCTGTGCGCTGCGACAGGTTCTTGTCGGCGTCGAACTTAGCTTGCAGGTAATGCCCCATCGACTCCCAGAGCTGCTGCGAATGCTGGATGTCCTTCTCGGTCTGGTCATCTCCCGGGTAAGCGCTGCGCTCCATGAGTCCGAAGGACGGTACTCACGTAGTGCGCAGGAGTCTTATTTGTGTCTCGGACGTCGATAGCAGATAGCATGATCAGGCGCGGTTTGGGGCTGCGGGTGAGCTCGATGGCGTCGAACACCTTCAGCGCACCCTCATAATCAACCGTCCTGTAACACTCCAATCCGCCTTTGCCCTCTGCACCAGCACAGAAATAGACAATGTCCTTGCCTTGAAAAGTGGCCGTGAACTTTTCAACAGGGTCGTCCTCCAACGAAAGGACCACAGGCAACGCTCCAGTCGCGGCCACATCTTGGGCTTGCCAGCCGTTGCGGAAGACGGAGACTACCTTGATGTCACCCTGTGGTACCAGGAGCCGTGCCAGACGCATCGCAACCTGTACCGTGTTTTGGCAACGTCGGTATGGGATATAAGCTGGATGTTGCTTACCTTCCCGTGACCACCGACGATGACAACGTTCATCCCTGGCTATAGGTGTCTCAGTCGGGTATGTATGATCGGGAGGTATGTACCGTTATTGGAGAACATGGGTCCGAGCCATCTGACACATTTATATAGTCGCCCAGCCCTCGGGCCCCGAAAAACGAGATGAAGTGTTTCCAAGACTTTCCAAGACTTCCCGTATGGCCATGATATCCTTATTTGAACAAGGCCCGAGGCCCCTTGCTCAGAGCTCAGCCTTACCCATTAGCCATGCCGTAAAGTGTATCTCCGATCTTATTCACCCGTCCGATGCGGACTCGAACTCGCCGTGACGCTGTTCACGCCGCGTAAGCGTCGCCGCCGGCTCTCCCCCCTTTTCTCGCGATCCCGGCTTCATGTGCCACAAAGCCGCCGGATCAATAGCTTCGATCGCGGATGCTGCACGCTCCCAAGTCCAAGGATTATACCCTTTTTGCACGATAGCGCCTCACGCTCGCGCGTAAGGTCGTATACCGAGCTCACCCGTGCAAACAACTAAAGTCCGACTCGGAGACCTCGGCCAAGTCATCGCCAGCGCTGAAACAAAGTTGAAAGAGGCTCACATCCAGTGCTCTGTGATCACATGTGTTTGCGAATGCGATAGAATTCTGAAGACGTCGACGCCAGTCATCATGGCGTGATCACCAATTGTTGCCACTGCCAAGGTTTCTTCCTGCGAGCGACCCGTGCGTTCAAACTGCTTGTTCATCTCAGCTCTGTTCGATTGTGACACTCCCGCGAATGCCCAGCAAGATGAAATCCGCAGGCACCCGCAACGGTCTCGAGCGGCGTTATGGAGCAGCGCGGAACCAGCGTCGTTCCTTACTCCCGGACAAACTCGGCTGGCCTCTTGCAAGGCTATTTCTGTATTCTACTGGGGTCACCGAAAATCTATCATCCCGTGCCCAGCGTTCACAGCTTCATCTCTGGGCGCTGGATGTGGCACGTCTGTTTGGTGATGCCAATAGAAACCGTGCCTCGTCTTGAGGGCCTCGTGCCTATCAATCATTTTCATCCTCCGTAATTTGTCTTCTTGAGGTCGAGAGTTGCATCGCCCACTGCCTGTACAAACCTTTTGCAGCGCGGCTTTCAACGCCATTGTCACAATCGGTCACAGTCTATTTCTTGGAGGCGGCTGTTTTTCCATTTCGCATGAAAGGCGTCACTGTCAGTGCATGGTAGGAGATCGCCTTGTGCGTTTCCGACAACGACCTAACGCCATGCTGTTCTTCCTGGAACATATTTCATCTCTGTGAAGGAGGTGACCGAGATGAGATTAGTGGAATCGGATCGCCCGCTTGCGTTGCGTTCGTTTTGTTCGTGTGCTATGCTGACGAATACTCCAGGTCTCTCCGCAAATTGATGTCACTTGAAATGCTTCCTGCGGCCGACAAGTGCGAAGATGACGGCAGTGAGCAAATGCGGGGTTAGCACAACGACCTGGCCACCACCGGACATCGACTCGACCAGCCCATTCATTTTTCTTCCGGCCTGGATGTGACTCGCTGCAAAATTCCTCGAAATCCGAATGGAATACTATTAGGCTCAATGTTGAGTACTGATACCAGTGCTCAGGTCCATATTGCGTCTGTATGGCTCTTCTATCGAGCCAATCTTCAACGTTACGTCTAACCCAGTGAGACTCCGCCCTCTGGCGAGCACGGCCTTGCCCCAGAACTCCATCCAGATTAGACGCGTCGTCGCCACATGCGGGAGCATGACCGACATCTGGTACTGCGGGTCGAGCCCGTGGCGCCCCGCCTCACCCTCGTCCTCTTGGAACGTCCACTCGGCCGTTGGGGTGTGTATGCCCTGCCCGCGCACGCGTGCGGACGTCTTCCGTGTGTATTCGGCGTTCCGCGAGTGCTTGCTCTCGCCGCCAACCGAGACGGACGAGTAACCGAGCGTCATGTTCAGGCTGTTCTCGGACCCGCGGCCCCAGTGCACCTCCGTCGCCTCCCCGTGCGCGTCCGTGGGCGACAGGTCGCGGATCTTGAGTGGCACCCGCCGCCCGTTGTCGTCATCGTAGCCAAACGTCGCACGGAAGACGGCGGAGACGAACCGCGTCTTCATCGTCGGGTCCGGCCCGAAGCCCACGCCGAACGTGACCTTGTCTTTCTCGAGGTCGCCGTGCAACCGCGAGAGCGTGATGTTGAAGTATGAATCGCCCTCGTTCGCGCGCCCGATCTGCAGGCCGTCGCCGTCCTCTGTGGGCACAAACACGCAGCCGGGCTCTGGATCGTGGAACGGCTGCCGTTTACCTAACCAGCGGAAAAGTGGCTTCGGCCGATCCTGGTGCTCTCCCGTGCAAGTGGGCAGAGAACGTGAATGGGGTCTGTCCCTGTACGTCATGAATATCGAAGGGGATAGAAGGCTGGGTAATAACTTACGTGCCGATGGTCGAGACAGATGTCTGGTAACGAATTGTTAATCAGCCTAGGCGTCATTGCTTACGCGGACTTTTCTCACCAAACTTGCTGTCGAATGGTTTCCATTTGGGAATGATGGCGATGCTCCGTCGAAGAGCGAGTCATCGCTGGTCACGGAGCGCGGAGAAAGCCTGAACGGCGGTATTTTCAGCACTTACTGAACTGCTATTGGGAGGGGTAGTTGACTTACGTGCCGCTTGGAGAAGTCACCAGCTCCCTTGACGTTGCAGTAGCCTGCACCAGCACGGCCTATCAGCTATGAAAACGTAGCTGCGTTGTGGGATAACAGGGGTACTGACACTTTCAGCGGTCTTTTGAGATACAAGGTCCAAATGAGCGCCGGTGAAGGTCGATGTCGTGCCGGTAGCCGTGCTGGTTTCTCGCGTCTGAGAGAAGGTTACTGCAGCCAATTGTCGGACAACGGCATCTCTGCGCGTGAACAGGTAATCAGCAATCTTCCGGGGACCGATACTACCGGATTACTCACCCTGTATCCGCTACCGCTATCGCTGAGCCGGTCGCCTTGTAATTGAGGTCAGCTTACGGAATACGCAAGGACGAGCGATTGCTTACGGAAGATCGAACTTCAATGTCAGCATCTCGTGTCTCAGCGGGCTCCAAAGGTGTTAGTGCTTCAGCCTCTGTTTGTGCTATCTCCTTTGGCTCTGGCTTGGCACTTGGCGCGTTCAGAGGCGCTGCCAACCATGCCTGCCACGACCACATGAGACACGTCTCGTACATTGACAACATCAGTCCCTCACCTCTAGATCGGGCCGTGAAAAGGCGCGGCCGACCTGTGCAACTTGTGTTTTGTCCCGGAACATCCTAATGTCGGGACACTTCGTATTGCATCAGTTTGGAGCGCACGCAAAGCGGAGCGTAGTCATCTTACCGCCCTGTACTGTAGTGTCTCTGTGATGTCCTGAAATACAAATGAACCCAGGAACTAGATTCACAGGATATGATCTCACCTCGTTGCATTCTATTGCACAAAAGGCGATAGATTCGAACGCCGACGATCCCGCGACACTCTCGAAGACGATCAGTTCGGCTAGTGAATAAGGTTGGCAGTAGTCGTAAAAAGTGACCACTACTTGATCGTGTTCCGAAAGCTATGAAACACTTAATGGTCAGGTATTTCATAAGTGAGGCTGCACAACGCACTATTTCCTGCCACTGGTCCTCGCTATTGACGTAAGTGACGTTTGTCTTTTCCTATGGTTACTGCTCAGAGGATGACAGCTTGGATTTGACACTACTGAAGCTGTACCTCCTCTTCAGATTCTTCTTTACTTTCGCTTTGCTGTTCTTCTTGATCCTCGCTCGATGGATCCTGGGCTTGGATGTCCTGGTTTTCCGACCCCTCAGCTGCATCGGTCTCGGCTTGGTCATCTATTTTCACCAATTCCTTTGGACCTTGTTCGTCTTCATCTTGTCCCTTCTCCTTCGACACGCTATCATCAGAGGCAGACGCCGAGTCTGCCATCCTGAGCGCATATGCCCATGCATTAGTAGTACATCTTTAATCATAGCTTGGAAACGACGTACACACTTGCCGCCAGACAGTCCCGAAGCCATACCTATGTGATTCAGTCGTTAGAGGCAGATAACCCGTCAGCGAGAAAATTGGCACGTACGTCACATGAAAGCCTGCTCCCTGCGCTCTTCCACTCCGAGAAAATCACGCCATTCCGGTAGAACCAGCAACGGGATTGCTGCATGCAGCAGCTCGTTCAGTATTGCGATGACGAGCGTGGGCGCAACTACTTACGTAGGTTAGAAAAAAGGTGTCGGTCAGGTCCTATAGACGTGATGTTCAACTGGTGTCTAAATAACAGACAGAAAGCTCGCAGGACTGACCTCGTTTTCGTCGCAGTCAAAGGTCACCATACGGATATGCTCGGTCTCGGGTTTCGACACCGCCTGCTCCCAGCCTGTCCACAATGTATCAGACACCACTGGCTTGCTCTTCCTGTAGAACGCCACGAGGATATGCTTGGACTCCGAAGCCTAGCAATGTCAATTAGCAAGGTATTCATCGTGGAGAAAACATTTCGGAAAATATACCAGTGAATTGATTTCTTCAAAGGAGCTGACGGTCTGAATGAACGGCTACAAAAGTCGTATATAAGCCATGCTCTGGCTGGAGATAGCAATGACATAGAAAACACACTTTTCCACCGGTTTCCATCTCGTGCAACTTGTGCATAGTTTCTTTGGAGTGAGAACTCTTTCCGCCGGGAGAACGAGAGACGCTAGAGCAGGTGTCATGATTTCTCTCGTACGCTTCGCCACCATGACTCACGCATTGGACATCACACAGTCGGTAAGCCATTCCTAGTTGAACCAGAGTAAGCGAACAGCGCGAAATGTGATGCAAAGAAACACATTCACCCTGAAGGCACCATACTCGGAAGAGCCACTTTTCTTCCCAAAAAGCTTTCCCCCACGAAAAACGGCAACATGCGGGAACTGAAAGGAGAGCCGTCAGTCATGACCCTGTGTGAGCAAACCCCGAGTCCTACCCCATCTGCCTTTCCGCGTTCCTGCAGGTGCTCGAGCTCGTTGGTACTCTCCGTGCAATCGACGTTGCAGAACGTCACGTCTTGGAACTCCCGCCGGGCAGCGATGCGCCTATAAATCGGATCGAAAACCGTGCACCACCCGCACCACTCCGCAAAGTAGCGGACGACGGTGAGTTTATCCCTGGACACCTGTCAATGGCGCCGTGAGGGTGAGTCGCCACTTTGTCTTTCTGCAAGAGACGCCAGCCGGCAAAGCGAACGTACCAGGCTGTTGAAGTGCTCCTGCTTGGAGACCGACGTTACGGGAGACATGGCGCACTCGCACAGTAGTAGGTGAGGAGCACGGGGCCGAGCGGGACGGCCGTATATACCTTGCCTGGGCTTGCGTGTAGTCGCGCGCCTCCGCCAGCGATCTCGCTCCCGTCCCCCCGCAGCCCAGACGACGCTCCCACAGCCCAGACGGCGCACATCACTGCATCCTGGCGTGTCGTCGCCGCATTGCCTGATCGTTACTGATAGACGCCGGCACATTGTGATGGCGACCCATTGAATCGCGTGGCGCCTGGGGGCGATAGGGGGAAGATTGGCGGCCGTACCTGTGCCTCTTGGCAACACGAGAACGCGGCCGGGCGCAGGCACAGCACGGACGCCAAAGGGCAAAAGGACCGCCTCCCCCCAGCTGTCTCGAGAAGCACAGCTCACTCCCGATTCTCTGCTCGCCGACCAGACCACCAACCCACTTCTTAGCCGGATGAGCATGCCCGGAGTGAAGACGATCGAGAGCGTGGGCGAGCTCGAGGCCACGGTAATGCTCATGGGCGCACAGGCAAAGAGAAGCGTGCAGGACTCACCGAATGCCAGGTCTCGAGCGAGGCGCGGGCCGCGGTCCTCTACACGATGTCGTGGTGCCCGTGGTGCACCAAGCTCAAGCCGGCCTTCGAGGAGGCCGCGCAGACGGCCGAGTTTGCGGACGTCGCCTTCCGGGTCGTCGTGCTGGACAAGCATACGGTGAGTGCCCTTTCGAGCCGGAGGGGGAAGCCAGATAGGTGACCGCGTCAGCAGGAAACAGACGAGCAGTGGCGCAAACCCAAGTCGTCGGTACGTTGCCGAATCTTCGCACAGTTTTGCAGACTGAGCCCGCCATGTAGGTGCCTCAAACACACCTGTATGAGAACGGGCAGAAGATCCGCGAAGAGTGCGGGTATATGGAACGGGACGCCTTCTTTGTGAGTCGGCCACAAAACTCGAGTTCTAGTCGAGGTGGTCTCACCACCATTGCAGGACTGCTTGCGTGGCGCATTTTCTGGAAGAGGGTAAGTGAGGCTCAACTTCCCTTAGCGGACCGCTTACCAGATGCATTCAATACAGCCCTTTGGAGCGGGCAGGCGAGAAGGAAGAAACGCACCAATGCTCGTCGAATGGGGCGTGCTGCCTAAATCGCACTGCGAGGTTAGCACTTATTGTACGCTGACGAACAATTAGTCGCTTACCATTATTGCTACACCTAGCGGTGCTCGTCCCGTGTGCGAAGGGAAGTTTGAGGACAGGCGGAAGCGTGCCATACTTTTCCACAAGAACAAGAAAGCGTTCTCCGACTTGGAGCCCAACTGCGTGTTTCGGCCAACTGACCAGGACCGCGGGATCCTCATTGGCCGAGCAAACGACGAGGCCTCATACTTCGACATCATACTCTGGAACGCGCCGCACGAGGACCCGGGGCGGGTCTACTTCAACCTCGACTTCATGCCTGACCCCGTCAAGAAAGCACGTTTCGAGTCTGTCCTGTTCTCAGTTACGTTTGGACAGGATTCAGAGGGCGGCAAGCACACACCTCTCGCGATCAAGGACCTCTTCCCCACCGACTCTGACGACGCGGCCTCCCGGCCGCTGCTGGCGCCCCAAGTGGACGAGATCTCCTCTGAGCAGGCAGTCCTCGACGATGGCTCCAGCTTCGTGTCTTCCTTGGATGAGGACCGCAGGAGCGACGCCTCGGTAACAGCCACCGTAATCCGCGGTCAGGGCCTGCACAGTCCTACAGCCGTTTGGAACATCACCGAGGGGAAGACGTCCTCGAACCGTCTCGGCTTAGACGCGCATTACAGCATGTACATCACGCTTCCTACGAGCAGCACGGTGTGGATGAAGTTTTGGGCAAAGGCCGTTCTGGTTAGTGGGGATCAAGTAGGGTTGGGACTGAAGCATCGGGCGACACTACAGATTGGGACGGCAGAGAAGCCATACGAGAGAGTCTTGGATTTGAGCGAGGTGCTCAACCAGACCTAGAAAATTTTGTTCTTTTTAACTTCAAAGTGGTATGAGAGTTGTAGAGTATTTGCCTTGAAACCACCGTCTTCAAGCGCAAAAGTTCGTTTTCTCTGCGAATTCAGGAGACGACGGAGTCGAAGCCGAAGCGAAGTGGTCTGCAGCTGAGAGAGCGATAACAGATATTTCCTTAGCCCCCTTTACAATGTCGTAGCGAAAACCTGAAATTGTCGGGCTTTCAAGCGGATCAAAGCGGGCATAAAGCCCGATGTTGCCATCAAGCGCCACCAGGCTGTGTTCCACGTGGAATGGACGCCGGCCACCGCTCACGCGACGCCGCGTTTCAAGATTATCTTCTCCGAGTTTACCCTATATACAGCACCGTATGATTAGGACATAATCTGCCAGTATGTACTTCAAATTAACATATGCGCAGACTCAAGCTAACTCATTATTTCATACGGCTTCATTCGTGCAGTTTCGCACGGCCCGAGTTGCCCGAGAATGCTGGGAGCATTTTAGGTTTGATGCAGCGACTAGCCGCTGCCATTTTTGTGCTTTCCTGCTCATCGACATCGTGTGCCCTCCTTTGTTGTCTTCTACCAACACAATCCTCCCAGCATGATCTGGTTTCCGGCATCCGAGGTCCTGAGCTCGCCGCTGCTCAAGGTACCCTTGGTGCTGTCCTGCGTAGCCATCACCACTCGGGCACAGACGCCGCCAAACCCGCCTCCCGCATCGGAGGAGCTGGCCAAGTACGAGGGAAAGAGAGAAACTCTGAGCACCGTAGGGAGCGTCCAAATCGCTGCGTACATGTACAAGGTCAGGCCTTTGCCCTACGTTGATTTTACGCCTAGATCCGGCCGTCTGATGCATCGGACATCACTCTAGGCGACATACTGGCTGTGCGCCCTCGGCGAGTCCACAGTCGTCCTCGCCGAACACTTCCCCTCGTCCATCTCGCCCGCCGCGCTCTCGCTCTTCGTGCCCAAAGCGTCGTACGCGCCGGGCTCCGTGCGCATCACGCCGCTCTGGCTCGCCGGCTGCGCGCTCATGTGCGGAGGCGCCGCGATCCGCCTGTGGTGCTACCGCACGCTCGGCCGGTTCTTCACCTGGGAGCTCACCGTCAAGAAGGGGCACGTCCTCATCACGCACGGGCCGTACGCCGCCGTGCGCCACCCGAGCTACGTCGGCAGCGTGATGATCGGCGTCGGCGTCGTCCTGTGCTACCTCAGCCCCGGCGCCTGGTATCGCGAGTGCGTCGGGTGGGACACGCTCGTGGGCAAGGTCGTCACCGGTCTGTGGGCGGCGTGGACGCTCTCGGTCCCTGCCATGCTCGTCTCGCGCGTGAATAAGGAGGACGCGGTCATGAGAAGAGAGTTCGGAGAGGAATGGAATGCGTACGCGAGGAGGACCCCTTACAGACTGCTGCCTTTCATCTACTAATAGCGGTAGCGAGCACTGGGGACACCATGCCAATTTGGGCGAGGTGCACAAAGTAATATGTGTGGTAGTAGTAGTGCATGACGACACAGCAATGCTATATGGCATGATTATCATCAGGACGAGTGATACAAAGGCGTAGTGAGCTGGCAGTAGGTTGATTAGAAAGCTTATGCAAAAGCAACGAGAAAATTGCTCGTGTGTTGAGAATGTGGGCCGTCGTCGTGGGCTACATCGTCGAGAGGGGGCAAACGTGCAAGCGTTCGCGGTCTGTTCGGCGAGTATTTATCTACACTACAAGTGTTTCAGGTACGAACGTGAGTGCAGTATAAAGTAAATACAAGTAAACAACATGCGCACAAGGCGCCGGTGAAACACGAGCTCGAAACATGGATCCAACATTCAACATCGCGCGGCCTCCATCTTCTCTCTTGATTGTCTATCGCAAATTCTATCAGCAAACTGGGCATCCAAGATATGGAGACAACAGTTTATAACCGCACGCTCTGAAGCAGTCCTTTGGGACGAGCTGATCCTCACAGAAGTCTGCAGAACATCAGCGGCTGTACTTCCGGTAGAAGCCGCACACACGCAACATTGTATTCGAAAGCACGATATATCAGTTTAGAACGATCGTTTGCCTGAAGCGTATCTTTGGCGATGAACCATGCCACGACGAAGCCACATCAGAGATGCACAAGCTGCACAAAACTTTTGGGAACTCACTAAAATCGAACTTCCCCAACTCTAGCCATGACAGCCTCGAATGTCTCCTAGGACTGCTTGCGAAGGGTTAAGGCTCGCAGGTCCGCATTCAAGCTAGGCCATGCGTGAGCGAGAGCAAGCTCTGAGGCTTGAAGGGGCAAGTTGCGTCACGCACCGCTCGCCCGAGGCTCTAGCAAAAACGACGAGCGGTCTGATGTGTCCAAGTCTACCAGCACACACCTGTACAGCAGAAATACCCACCCTAGAAGTTTTGGAAGAGCTGCCGTCGCAGTCTGCATGTCCGGGAGCGACGCCTGCTTGCGCCTAGGGCGCCATTTGGGCCCTACAGCTGCACGCCCGCGCCTGAGGCCTGAGAGTCCGTCGTGCTTCCCTCTGATGAGCGCGATTCTCTGTCATGCCAGAAATGCAGGTCCGTGCAGGTCCGTGCAAGTTCGTGCAGGTGGTGATGGGAGATGAGAAGATGACTACCGGGCAGGGTGTCAGGCGCCCAACGCAGTTGTCGGGGTCCCGACCAGAGACATGGTGTCCGGCGATGGTAAGCGCTGTTTTTTTCTCCAGAAAACCTAGACAAAAGTGGCTAGATAAGGCCCGTTATTTTTCTCCATTCTACGCCGACGCAAATTGAGAAGAAACTGGTGCGAAACCAGCCAAAGAGGGTCTAAAACACGGTAAAGCTGGTGCAAAACTGAGTTTTCCTTTTTTTCAGGTGGAAACCGGAGAAACTCGGGGTCATGTTCAAATAGGTTTTTGGCCGATTTTGCGCTCACCACCACTGGTCTCCCGGAACTGAACCGCTATGATGCCACTGCGCTACTAGAGGGATTGTCCTGCTTGCTTTAATCCGCGGATAGTGATTTATCTAAACCAGGTACATGCTGCGTCCGGGTCGCTTGCCTTGTGGAAGAGCATGTTTGGACAGTTTGGGAAGCTTTGCTGATAAGTGTGCTTTGGTCCTTGGAGCTTCAAGCATGCACAGTGTGTTATCTCTCACATTTACATCGCCTTCGATGGTGCAGGCACCATGACGACGCACGCTCACGCGACTGACCAATCACAATATTTCTTAGTGCACGTTCACTTGGTTGAGATCAAGGCGGTCCGCGGACGTCGACCATAACCTGACACCGCTTCTCACTACGCCTACCTTCATTGTGCGATAACGTCATCCTGGCATGTTATTAGTGGTAAGCAAGGACCACCAGTACACAGCCATGCGTCCATTCTGACTTGGTCTATCCGTAAAGTGCACAGCATGTTTGCTCCAACTGAGCATTGCTTTCCTATGCGTCACTACCAGCTCGCATTGCGCATAGTTTCGCGGAGCTAATGTTCTCACAGTCTTCAATGACTCTCCATGATGCTGTTTTGTCGGGCATGGATTTTCTGGCAACACCTTGCCGGAAGCGAAGTTAGGCTGTACGAAGTTTCTGCATCCCGACGTTTTCCGAACCTTCGAACCGGATAACAGGTTGCTGTCCCAGCCATCAGCTGTGATGTCGAGGTTTGCGCAGATAGCTCGCGGCCTGCGCATGACTCTCCCAAGTATGCTGGACCGCAGGGCCTTATGTTCTGGGACAGGCGAGCTTAGAGTTTGATCTCTGTCTTCCTGGGCCCTACTAAAGCACCGCGCCTGCAAGAGGCGCAACACAAAACATTCATACCACATCACTCATTCTGTTGTCTTTCCGTGCACTTTCGGAACGTTCACCGAAATGTCCAGGACCTCGCACCATGCTCAAGACGTGGAGATTCAAGCCGCAGGGCGGACCGAGACACGAGAGGCATACGAGTATCATAGTCAGCGTCACGCAGCAGCAACGCCTTTCGAAGATCTGAACACCAGGGAAATCCTCGCGCCGTCGGTCTCCGCTTCTCCGAGTCGCGGACTGCCCAGGTCTCGATTGAGCGAATACTCTGAGCTGCAACCCCCCGCATCGGCGCAGCATATTGTGGTTCTGCCGCCGCCTGCCTACGAACCTCTGGTTGACACGCAGCTAGAGAGAATGTGGGCTTTGATGTCATGCTTCAGGCGCACGCCCCGCTGGTGAAGCGCAATAAAATCGAGTTTTCACTATATCCATAAAGTGTGTGCGAGATCCACAAAATAATAGCCGGATAACGTTCAATATCCGACTCTGCGAAACTGACCGTGTCGAGATTGCCAGGTCGTCGCGAGGTAGGTTGACCAGGTCATGTTCGTTCTTCTGTAGGGATATGCCGATATGCCGAGACTCTCGCATCAATGTATTAAGCGCGCGTATCGCCCCTCGTACCTCCGCCGTTGTCTTCTCTGCGTATCTTGCAGCTCGACCAAACCCTTAAGACAAGGTGACGATGAATAAATTAAACTAGCCTAACTCTCGTTTATGCCAGCACTGGCATCGTACGTTGCTAGTCTTGGACGAGGGTAAGTTTCACCAGTTCGTTATTAGAGCTATTAGTAGACTGTGCATTCACTTGGCTTTGCAACGCTTTAGATTTTACAGCTTGTTCGGATATTGGTCCTGCTCGCGAGGGTTCATCTGTAGAAGTAATTGCGTGTGTGCATTTTGCAGTTAGATCATGCATATAGGCTGGCCTTTGTTAGGAGTGGCTCAGGCGCGTCGCGTGGAATTGACGACTGGATGTCGAAATCCACTACGGCATCATCGTCACCATTCTGGTCGCTGGTAGACAGTCCCACACAGGTAGGCTTATATTGCTGATCCCGCATACATAGAGACTGAGTACCACCCGGGTAGGGAGCGCCCCATACTGCTCGGGCAGCAGACGAGGGTGGTGGAAGGGGCACTCGTCAACCGCGCTGGGAGCTGATCTTGCTTGTATTTAACCGCTAGCAGGTGTTAGGTGAAGGTGAGACGCTAGACTAGACCTCAGCCGATCGGCTGGCACGTTGATTGCGCCACAGTCGGGCGTTGGATTCCCTGCCGCTTCCTTCATGCCGTAAGAATTGCCTTTAATATATCCATCTGACAGCCGGGGTTATCGAGCGATTATACCAGCGCCCTCAATTTCCGTGTACACTCTTGGCCGCTCTTGATATAGCTGAGCATCTTCAACTCGTCGATCCGGTGTACGAGATTTTCCGCTCTTTCGGAGACTTCAAGTCCATGGGCGGGAAGAGCTGCGTCAACGTTGAGTGGAATATTCTGAAGACTCTACAGTGATAGCAATTATTGAGAGCAAATACGGGATGTAAACATGCGAAACAGGCCCACAACGATGTGAAGAAGCAAGAGAGACGCAGAACAGATGGAAACGCGACGACGACGATTAATAATTGAGCCTTCCCCGTATCATGCCAACGATAAGATCCTTCCCCTTCAGCACGCTAGTGAGCCAATTGCCCACAACGATACCCCAGAGCACATCAAAGTACCCGGCCCCATACGCCTAGTAACCCACACCTCAGCACCATCCACCCACAAGCACAACATTCAAACTCACCCTTCCGACGGGGATGACGATCATCTCCCTCGAGCCCTCGTACACCTTCGCCTGGGGCTGGTCCCGGAGGAAACTCACGACGTTCGGCACGACGACGGCGGCGTGCGCGCTGGCCTTGCCCGCCTGCTTCTGCTCACGCCACTCGACGATATCGCCTGCGGCGTACACGCCCGGGTGCCCGCGCACCTCGAGCGTCGGCGCGACACGGACGTGGCCGGACGCCGTGAGCACGCCGCCGCCGAGCGTCGCGACGACGCCTGTGTTCGGGCGCGCGCCGAACGCGGGGATCTGTGTGCGTGCAGCAAGTCAGCGTGGGTGGCGGGGTTCTGAGAGGGGCAGGGGACGCGCACCACGAGGTCGGCGCCCCTGATTATCTTGCCTGCGCGCGTGACGACGTCGGTGGTCGCGAGCGGCTCGGGGAAGACATCGACGTAGTCCTCGGCGACGAGCGCGACCCCGCGCGCGCGGACCGTCTGCTCCATGCGGTCCCGGAACTTGTCCGGGTAGGCGTCGTTCAGCAGGCGCGTGCCGCTGTGGACGATGGTGACCTTCGTGTTCTGTGCGGGAGCCACGAAGTTGTCAGCAGCGGCGGGGTGGAACATGTCAGGGCGGCCGTGCTCACCGGGTACGCGTCGAGGATCTCGCCTGCGAGTTCTGGGCGTGCCGTCAGTGGTGTGTGTCTCACGATCGAAGAGGTGGGGCAGCTTACCGATACCGACCGAGCCACCACCTGCGATGACGACGTTCTTCGCCTGGGCAAACGTCCGGCGCCACACCCCGATCTTCTCGCGCACCTCCTCGTCCGCGTCGCCAAAGTCGATGAGAGACGGCCACGTCGAGCCCGTCGCGAGGACGAGAGCGGCGTACTCGAGGCGGTCGCCGTCTGCGAGGACGAGCACGCCGCCCTTGCCGGGCGCGGTCTCCGCGATCTCCACGAGCCGGCCCTGGACGAAGGCCACGTTCTGGAGCCGGTCGTAGGGCACGAGCACCTTCTCCTCCAGCTGCCCGGCGGAGGAGACGACGGTCCGCAGCGCGGCGACGATGTTCACGAAGTACGGCCGCGCGCTGAGAAGTACGAGGTTGTACTGCGCGTGGTCGAGCTGCTTCGCGAGGCCTTTGGCGGCGTCGATGCCGGCGAAGCCTCCGCCGACGACGACGACGTTTTTCTTGCGCTCGTCGGTTTTCTTGGACATGATGCCGCTGGGAGCCTTGGCCGTCTGGATCTGCGTGTATTTGGGCCTCTTTTCATTCGTGTCTTTATACGTGTAGGTTGTCTACATGCATAAGCATGCCAGCCTGCGTAATGAGAAATGACACGCGCGCTTTACTCAGCATGATTGTGTTAAATCTCCACGCCCCAGCCGCTTCGAGCAAGCGAGACGGTGAAGTTGGCCGAACTCTTAGAACCAGTGTCAATTATGATAGGCTGGACTCTGTTTGCTTATTTGGGAACCCTGGTGCATGTCATGTCTCGAGGGCTCATCCTGACTCAGCAGCTGTCCCCAGCGCCGACCGAGCTGCGTGCAGGTCAGTCTGGTGACACCCATCCCTATGTAGATCTGTCCACGCACAATTTGAATGATCTGGAAATATTAGATGTTTTAGCACGGCTCGTGACTGGCGCATAGGATTTGTATGTTTCTGTATGTTGAAGTTCGGCCAAGGGCCCGAACTCGGTGATAGACGCGGGCTTTGTGGCGACCACGTGGCGTGCGGCCGGAGCCGAGACATATCACGAGCTCAATCTCCCACCACGGTTAAGCCGTCCCGCGTTCTCAACTATCGCTCGCATCCAAGATGACTAGGGCCTCCAAGGTTCTCAGGTGCGCCAGGGCGGGGGTTCAAGACACGAACAACGCATTTTACACAGCTCTGGTTTCTTTGGTCTCGCGGCAGTCCGGGTCTTCTCGGAAATGTATGATTCGAAATCACTAAGGGTGTCCGCAAAGCCGGCTGACGCTAAGCGGTCTCATAGTCCTGAGACTCCTTGATTAGCGTCAACAGGTGGAGCGCAGATAATTTTCATCGCTAACGGCGAGGTTGAGCTATTCCTTGCTGGGAACACCGACAACTGAAAATAGACCACTGAGTAATTATCTACGGTAGAGGGAAATGCATGTAAGTAAGCAAAGCGACATTCTACTACCTCAATGCTAGTGATGTGCGGGCCGGGCTTCAAAGCCCGCGAGCCCGCCAAGCCCGGCCCAAAAAGCCTGACCCGAGCCAAGCCTGGTAGCGGGCTCAAGGCCGGGCTCGGAGCGTAGTCAAGCCCAAGCCCAGCCCGGAAGCCCAGCCCTGGGTGCACCGACTCTGTTACTGTTCCCTGAGTTCAGCATAAGGTGAGAGAGATCTAATATGTACATACCAGACATAATATGAATATTTTAGACTCAATGGTTCCCGCCGAGCACGATTGTGCATCACCGTTTGCCGTAGGCGCGCGCTCGTGGGCTTCGTTGCGACTCGACTTATTCTGCGAGTGTACATCTTCTGGAGGCTAAATTCAGTGAGTACATGCAGTAATAATCTACTACATCCAAATATACTCCCTTTTCATAGCACCAGAATACTCGTTGTATTGTGAGCAAGCCTGCGGCTTGGGCTGGGCTCAGGCTCGGCTCGGGCTCAGGGCTCGGCTCGACGTTGCCACAAGCCCAAGCCCGGGCTTTGAGCCCAAGCCGGGTCCGCAAATCACTAGTAGGAACCCCCACTCTTTCACCAGCCCTTCTCATTACGTTCCCCGCAGGAGAGAAGTAACACTGGCAGGAAACTTATAGAAGAGGAGTCCATCGATGCGGTCGTCCTCTGGCTATCTAAACAGGCGTCTTTATTTTGCACATGGCACCATTCGTAATCTACAGGTCGAACTACTAGTGTTTCTATACAACACCGTACACAAGGTAGAATAAAAGCACAACAAATACAATTAATAATAAACATTATAAGCGGCAAATATACACACGAAAAAGGGAGCTGGGATCATTATTGCGACGTCTGCTATACCTCGCCTCTCTTAATCGCCCACCTCTCCTTGGATCGCCTGCTGATCGCTTTTAGGTCGTCTGCGTCCATGCTCGCTGCCCACGTCTCCGCCGAATCAGCAGAATAAGCCGCGTAAGAAACCGACTGGGATGCCAAGTCGTAGCCCGGTGTTCCATGCCAGAGTTGAGCCTAAGGCGAAGCCAAGGTCGCTTACTCGGCGGCTCTGCCAGCTTGCGCTAGACAATCATCGAGCGTGCGTGGCTGGCTGGCGGTGCAATGTTGCTGTGCGACAAGGCTATGAGCATCATCGAAGCCGTGATAGCCCTCGCTAGAGTACGCGGGCAAGTACGCTGATGAAGGATACAACACATGGCCGTTAGGGCTCGCTCCAAACGCGACCCACGTCGGCTGAGTAGTATTTGCAGTTACGAACGGCGTCAAAGTCGAGACGAGGCTGAAGGTTAGGACATGGTACGGAACCAACCTTGGCTCGTCGACGGGCCTAGTGTCGGTGTTCTTAATGTGATCGCCGGATGAGTACGAGGTGAAATTGAAGACGTCACGCCGGCCTTGGCCGTCTAGCGACGAGGCGGCCGAAAAAGGGTTGAGATGTCGAAAATCTGGCATAAAAAGGTAGCCCAACGTCTTATCCACGACGTCAGATTCGGGCGTGGAGGAGGCGCGTATGCCGTCGTCGTCACCGTCGTCGTCATCGTCTTGTGTAGCGGAGGGAGAGCTCTTGCGGGACTTCCTAGGGCGGCTCGTGGCGCGCATCCGGTAGTGATCGTCCTGGAGGTGGAGGACGAGTGTCCGCATCGAGTCGAAGATCTCCTCTCCGCGCTGTAGTTACGGATGAGGACTGCATAGTGGGGGGTGGGGACCCTCGTGCTCAGAGATGCGCTTGTCGAGGGGAGGACGGAGAAGAGGAAGCATAGTTGGCCGCCCTTCGATGTATGCATGCCAGCCGCGGGCTCGACGAACTGCCTCATCCGCGAAGCGGCGTCTATACCGAAGTTGCCTAGACCCCAGGAGCAGAAGCTGGGGGACGCGATGCGCTTGTCGTAGGAGAACGAATTGCACTGCGTCGGCGGCTGGCGGTCGAGGTTGGGACTGGCAGTGACTCTCCCACCGGGCAGCATCGTCGAACCACTCGTTGCAAATAACTCGCTTCAAGAGTGCGCGGCCCTGAGATGCTTCTTGACGCAACCGTAGACGTACCTCGGCCGCTTCGCGTCTGACGAGGTGCTGTTCCCAAAGCAAGCGTCAGCGCGAGACTGCGTCCAGAGAAAGACGAGATGACGAACCCTTTCTGGCTCCCTCTCGGCTCGGAAGAGCAGCAACACCGCTCAGGCTCCAGACTGGAACGCACCTCGACTTCAGGTGTGTAGAGAGCAATAAGGTCGCAGAGGATGGCCCGGCCAACTTCGCTCCGGATCAGTGCCGCGAGAAACAGGCCATCCTTCTCCCACCCTACTACGACGTCTCCAATGACGGCATCGTTACATCTATAGTTTTTCTTGCTGCGCTGACACCATAAATGCAGAAGATGTCGATGGATCTGCGTCAATTGTCCATGTCGTGCTCGACTCGGACGCGTGCAATGACATGGACCGAGGATGTCGGTCGCGGTGCAGTTCAGAGTCTGGTCGCGTCTTTTATACAGTGTGTTTGGTTTTATTTGTGTCCTGTTCAGCGCTCCGCAGACGCGTCTCAACGCGGTCACGTGGTGCATCCGCGGTTTCTGGCCGCCGTCGCGTCTCTTTCTGTCGTTCTGGTTATATCTTCCATCTTGGCACAACAATATTCTTTGCCATTCTTTCTCTGTGCTTTTTCTTCTTCTCAGCACGTGTCACAAACATGAATATAGATCAGAGCCTACACTAGAACGACGTTTCGTCCTTCTGACAAGACCCGTGAAGGCCACGCTCGCCTCAGAGGACTTATGGCATCGCGCTTCTCATTCACACTCGCCAAGTCTTGGGTATATGCTGCCTCTTGAGGGATAAAAACGGTACATTGATCTATGCACTTGGCTTTCATGAAACATACTCGAAAATCAAGGATGCGGGGCCCCGATTTCCAGAGCGGATGACAGTCCTTAGGCTAGCGGCAACGGAGGAGTCTAGTACCTGAACAAGCTAGGTCACCGGAGTATTCAGTTTTTGTAGTGGCCTCCACTTCAAGCGTTTCTCCTTCGGTATCGCAGTACCGTAACCAAATAATATCCAGGTGGTGGTAAGTGCGTTGTTTTTGATAGCATCACGCTTGTCGGCGAGGCTGCGAGGCTCGAGCTTCTCGGTCGACTGCAACTCCGAGGCCCAGTCAAATCGTTCACGGCGATGCCCATGTGCATGTCGGCAAGGCCACGATGCAGGTTCTCTCCGAAGCAGCAGACGCCTGGATGATCATAAATTATGGGCATCGTACGGGTGTATGAGAATCAATGCGGAGAGGCCGCGTGATGAGTCCTAGATGTGAGATTATGTAACTTCAACTTGCGATATGAGTGAACATGACGCCGCCCACAGTAGAAGTACCCATACTCCGCTTCGGTAAAGCTGAGCCATCACTTTCGCCGCAGCTCAGTGACTGGCGCGGGGCGTGAGTTTCTATGTTCATACCGAAGACCCACGAGTTGGTCTGCATGCACTCGGGTACGCTCGCCGCGACAGTTGGAAACGGTCTGCACATAGTTTCTAGGCTGCTGGGAACATCATGGAACAGGAATAGCAAATAACCCCGTTAGAATCTCATCGAATGCCTTGAATTTCTCGTTAAAGATGGTCTTAAGAACTCGGTCAACACGAGTCTCTCCCGCAGTAAACTTCTCGTCTCTAAACCGAACTGTGTGGCCTGACACCTGCCGAAATGGCTGGAGACAGTCATTGTTCCGATTTTGAAACTGTCCTCAGATTCCAGTCGACCAAACATGTCGTATCGAATGTACGGTACAGGCTGCGCCTCACGCATCGTCGATGAGCACTTTAATATGCTAAATCCTTACATCCGAATCCAGGAATCAGCCCACCAGATGCAGAACACCTGCAAGATTCCCACGTCTGAAACTGGACGTAATCGTACGTCGAGTGGGGGAATATCGAGCATTGGACAGTCCATTGGCTTCATAAGGTGCGGTAGCACCGAAAGAGTCGTTGAACGTGCCACTTATCTGCGGGCTTTTGAAAGACGTGCTGAATGTACGTCACTTTGAGGAAGACACAGAGGCGCACATCGCGCTCGGGCTTATGCAGGCGCATGATTCCCATGTATACGCAGTGAATCAGTGTTCTCTCAAGAGAGGGGCAAAGGATCCGCAAAGATGGGGCAAGCATGCGGTCGAATCTCTTGAGCTTGACGCCAGACGTCGAAGGTCTTGGCCCCACGATGCCCATGGCATACTTGTCTGCCTCAATATGTCTTTAGCAAGACCGAGTAGAGGCTCAGGGCTGTGTAACTTAGGCGATGTCGAGCAGTGTGCCACTATACCAGCATGTCACCCCAGTACGGGATCTATGCAACTAGATCGGCGCTATCGCTTTGCGCAATTGCTGTGCAAAGACCCACCATGGCCTAGAAAAGCGAGAGTTTTAGCTAAATCCCTGCAGCATCGACATTGTAATAAAAAAAAAAAAACGTGGAGCCATGTGCACGTTCGATATCTGTCTGCAAGCATGGCATGCTGATGCAGACGTCTGCACACACCGGCGGAGTAGTAATCGGGCCCCTTCTGGCGGTTGCGGGCTTGCATGATTGGCTAATGACGACCGGTCTGAGTGTTCAATATTTGATGGTCGAGGAGGCTCGTCACAAGGGAGGGTATAAGCATAGAAATACGTTTATGATAGGGAGTTTGAGCTGCAACAGGGACCCGCATAGGTCCAAGATGTATGCCATGACGTAGCAGTCCGAACGGTCACACCTGTACTTTGACTTTTCGAAGCCCGACGCGAATTCCGCTCGGAACCTTCCGGGGGTACCGGGACGGCGGGCTTTGCGAGATTACATCCGGGGACCGACAAGACGCGCACCGTGGCCCGCCTCTCCCCCAGAACTCACCCCAGCCCATGGCACTTCCCCTCCAGATCACAGCCGAAAGTCACAAAATGCATTGTAATCTGCCGCTGACCTCTACGTCTTATCCACCCCCTCATTAGAGAACCCTGCTCCTCCTCGCCCGCCCCAGTTTCTCGCACTTCAACGGCCTTACCATGTCTCCTCACATCGACTACTACCCCGCCTCTGCCTCCCACGGCAACGGCTACGCCCACAACCGCAAGAACCCTGCAATATATTCCTCCATCGGCTGTGTTGTATCCAATGGGCATGCCTCTTCTTCAACAGATAAGAAGCCCGAGCTCTTGGACCGCTTCGTTCACGCGTACGACGAACTCCAAGTCTACAAGTGCGCACCATCACTTCTTTCCAGCGCTTCTTATGGACTGACACACACACAGAGAAGGAAAGCCAGTGGCTGTTGACGGTCACACCCTCAGCATTGCCGCAGTGGTAGCTACTGCTCGCTATGGAGCTGCCGCGGCTCTCGACGACAAACCCAAGACACGTGAGCGTGTTCTGCAGAGCAGACGCGTGATTGTGGACAAGGTCAACGCTCAACGCAGCGTGTACGGAGTCAGCACAGGCTTCGGTGGCAGTGGTGAGTTCTTCGTCTATCTCGCTTTCATTCAGCTCATCTGGAGCCTTGTGCACAGCCGATACTCGTTCAAACGACCCTCTCCTGCTCGGCAATGCCCTTCTCCAGCACCAGCAGGCTGGTGTACTGCCGTCTCAGAACGAGGCTCCCCTCCGGGCACTTCCCCTGGGCGATCCCCTCGCTACGACCAGCATGCCAGAGGCTTGGGTCCGTGGCGCTATCCTTATCCGGATGAACTCGCTCATCCGCGGTCACTCTGGCATCCGCTGGGAGCTGATCGAGAAGTTGAATGAGCTTTTGCGGGAGAACATCACACCACTCGTCCCTCTGCGTGGCAGCATCTCGGCTTCTGGAGGTCAGTTCTGTTTGTGCTGCTGAAGCGTAGGCGCCCGACGCTAACCCTATTGCTTGGTTTCCAGATCTGTCCCCTCTATCGTACGTCGCTGGAACCCTGACTGCTAACCCGGCGATTCGCGTTTATGACGGCCCTGTATCCTTTGGTCCGCGTCGCATTCTTGCCTCCAACGTTGCGCTAGCCAATCACGGTGTTGCCCCGATCTCCCTCTCGTCCAAGGAGCACCTCGGCATCTTGAACGGCACTGCGTTCTCTGCGTCCGTCAGTGCGCTTGCTCTTAACGAGGCCGTTCACCTGTCGCTACTCGCGCAGATCTGCACAGCGATGGGCACCGAAGCCATGACTGGCGCCGTCGCCTCCTTCAATCCTTTCATCCACGACACCGCCCGCCCCCACCCAGGTCAGGTTGAAGTCGCACGCAATATTAGGACACTTCTTGAGGGCTCGCAGATGGCACTCAAGCATGAGGACGAGGCCCACATTACCGAAGATGAAGGCGAGCTTCGTCAGGATCGCTACCCGCTTCGTACTTCGGCGCAGTTCCTTGGCCCGCAAGTCGAGGATATCCTCTCCGCGCTGGATGCGGTCACGGTGGAGTGCAACTCGAGTAAATCTTTCTTGTAGTGTATTACCTGTCATTCGCTGAACTTAGGCCGCAGCTACCGACAACCCTCTGGTCGACGGCGAAACCGGGACTGTGCACCACGGTGGGAATTTCCAGGCCATGGCCGTCGCGAGTGCGATGGAGAAGACTCGCCTGGCTGTTTATCATATCGGCAAGCTTCTCTTTGCGCAGTGCACGGAGCTCATCAACCCAGCGATGAATCGCGGACTGCCGCCGAACCTGGCAGCGACGGACCCGTCGCACAATTACTTCGCCAAGGGTATCGACATTCACACCGCCGCCTACGTCAGCGAGCTCGGGTACCTCGCCAACCCAGCGTCGACGCACATCCAGTCTGCCGAGATGCACAATCAGGCTGTAAACTCCCTTGCTCTGATTTCAGCTCGGTACACGATCACTGCGCTTGATGTGCTCTCACTGCTGACGTCGAGCTACCTGCTTGCGCTGTGCCAGGCACTCGACCTGCGCTCGATGCACCACGACCTTCAGTGTTCGCTGTCAGCCATCGTGCGTGAGCTCGTGCCGAAGCATTTCCCGTCTGTGGCCAGACATGCGGACGTCCTCGTGCCGATCCTCGAGCGCGCCGTCTTCCGTGCCCTCGACACTACGAGCACCGCAGACGGCGAGGCGCGCATGCACAGCGTCGCTGCGTCCACGACGACGCCACTGGTCGACTTCCTCTCCGCGGACGCCGCGTTTGCCTCCGAGCTCGCGCATGTCACCGGCTTCCGCATAGAGCTTGCGCAGTGCGCTTCAAAGACCCTAATGGCTCTACGTGCGCAGTACCTCGAGGGCGCGCGTGGCTCTACGCCCGCGAGCAAGTACCTTGGCAAGACGCGCGCGGTGTACGAGTTCGTGCGGGTCACGCTCGGGGTGCGGATGCACGGCGCGAAGAACCTGCACGGGTTCGCGATGGGCGCTGGCATCGAGGGCGGCACGGTCGGCGGCGACATCTCTGTCATCTACGAGGCCATCCGGGATGGCGAGATGCAGGGTGTCGTCATGCAGCTCGCCAAATCGGTCAAGGTAGGTGAGATGTAAACGACTTGATATTATTGGGACTTGAACTTTTCGTTTGTTCTTGAGCAATGTTATAATAGAAGGCTCAGGTGTATTGTTATGTGCCATGTGCATACTTTCGTGGACGCCCCAAGTTTACTGAATGAACGTCTTGTCAGACAAATCTTTTTCGTACTGTAGACTTTCGACCTGAACAGCTACGGGTCACAGAAGCCTCAAACCTGTTGCCTGGAGCCTCGGAAGTACTCTGTGGTGCGAGGATGGCCTGGCTTCTCAGTGTCAGAAAAAAAGAACGAAAAAAGAACGAAATTCTGGACGCTCATGATATCTAGGGTCCACAGCTCCCAAGAGCGATCACGAGCTGTTACAGCTACTTGACTAGTAAGTAAATGAGTAAGCTAGCTCAGTAATCCCTCTAAGTAAACAGTGTGATCTATTTTGCCCTGTCGCTGATATCGCTTATCGTGACTGATATCGGCGAGCAATTTTCCCTTCGAGTCGCGATGGCCCTAGGCTCTCAGCCGTCCTGAGTTCGCTATAGATAATTTATGTAATGTCTTTTCTGACATTTACCACAGCGCGTAAGGCTCGACGGCGTTCAGTGTGACATCCGTGTGAGGAGATTTTTAACATGGGGAGCAGGCATACTTATTGTGCCAGAATGCAGATCCTCTTGACTTTTATAACCCAGGATGTTATCGTAGTACTCGTGGCAATTGAAGCAAGATCCTTACGTCGTACAGCATCAGGAATCGATCGAGCACAAAAAGCGTCGATGACTAATAGATTCCACATCTCGTAGATTTTGCGGCTTGAGTTCAGCTGTCAGCCGGTGAGAGCGCTATCTTTGTTACCCTGAATGCCGATAAGCAGCAACCGGGGCTCTTGCAGCGTCCGATCGATAACGTTACTCCCGACAGCTTCGCGGTGGTCCTTTAAGTTATCGGCATGAATGGTTTCGTTTGTGGCGACATCCAGAACTTCGTTTGCCAAGTGGACATGCCCTGACTAATCAGGCAAGATATCCTCATCGGCCTTCGTCAGCTAACGCACACTGGCTTGGGCGGCGATGTTAATAACATGCGAGAAGCATGTTGCCACTGCTTGTCAGATCATCAGAGTTGAGCGAGAAGAATTAGTACGCAATGCAAGACGTACAAGCACAACAGGCAGCCAACCCAGGGCGTGTCAGACTTCTCCATAAACATCGGCTCACCCAATGGAAGACTCGCAGGCTCATCAGTGAGGAAAAGCTTGCACGTTATGTACATGTTGTCAAGCAGAGAGCGACAACGTGATCCTGCAGAAACGCGAGATGGGCTTCCTGGATCGATGCTGTATTTGACGTGGGACCAACACCGTGAACAGCAGGTGATCTGGGGCCATTTCTGAGTCTGATATGCGCTCTTATACTCGGTCTTGCGCGTCTCGGTAGGCGGAGCCGCCTTCAAGCTTCAAGATTCAAGTTAGGATCCAGCGTGCGAGCTAGCGGTCTGGTGTGCGGCATTTCGTAATGGCGAGAGGGAGACGGACTGTTCGGGAATGTTATAGAAACGCCGTCAAAAGAAGGAGAGGTCGAAGTCAGAGCATATGCGGCTTCCTGAGAAGTTTGCCGTGAGCAGAGAGGTTGCTTGTGGCGCGGAAAAGCCAAGACGCGAAGATGACTATTGAGAAGACGTATCGAGAGATCAAAACTGGAATGGAGAATGTCTGGAGGACTTTCAGTATGTAGGATCTGCACAGATGCATTTAGGTCCCACCAACATTTCATTGGACGCGAGGACACTACACAGTTTCGTGTCAGCGGCGAGTTGCTTGTAGCATTGCACCATACACGTCAGACCCACCTGAACTCAAAACCCGTGCATCACAGACAGATGCCAAAGGGACAGCATCCCAAAGTTACCTCCATATAATAATGTCGGAGATCGTTGAATAGCGACGCTAACGGCAGGGCTGCGGTACCCGTACCGTTCGGCTAGCGCAAGTGGACCTACACTGAGATATCTTGTGGCTGAATTTTCATGATAGCACTGTGTAATAAAATGATCAAGAAAGCAGTAGATGATTTCATTGGATTTGGTAGGGTCTATACGTAGAAGCGACGGGGACGGAGGAGGATTTCGGTTCATCACGTGCCACGCTGAGCCAGATGCCGGGCAACTAGGTCATGGCAAGGGGGGAGGCCGCCGTAGGCGGCGCGCTAGCAGCCCAGGGACCCGTGGGAAGCGTTTGACCAGGGTCGGTCAGGGTTGGCCAGGGTTCCCACGGTCTCGGCAGAGATCTTGGGACGGAGATGTGAAGGGAATCCAAGCTGGTGGTCGATGAAGGATCGCCATCAAAATGCAGAATCTCGCGTCGGGCTTGATGTTGTCCGTTGACCACAGTTTGGCCCGCCGTCACTGCCGCTTGCCAGCTGAACCCGTCGTCCACCCATCGTCCACCTGACTGACCTGTAGATTGATGTGCCATGACCTGTCTGCTTGCCAATAAAAATATATTTGCAGTATTGCCATCCAAACGGCGCTGTCCAGAGAAGTGCAACATCTTGCGGGAGCGATGAGTGAGGTCAGAGGGCGGTTGGCAAAACTGGCGGGCGAACAACATAGCTGCTTGCCTTTTGTGGGCAGGACACTGTGCTAAGAGACGAAGAGAGCGGAAATAGGGGATGGTATGTCTTTTGCTTTGGTCCACCTCATTCTTGCCATGCCACACATCAAACCCGAGCACCTCAAACTATGCATCATGTCTTTGGATGCAGTCCGACATGACAACCCGCGTGACATTATCATTCGACGAGTGCACCACAGCGGCGCTTGCGCCTTGCTCAAATCCTGCCGACCCCTGTGCTTCTTGAAGACACAGAAGTCTTTCGGCTTCCTCTCTTCTTTCACTGCATCGGCCATGTCTCCAAAGACGATGTGAAGAACTTGTCGAACCAGCGCCAACAGTGTTATTACCCGAACAACAATCCGCCTCGAAG